GGGGGGGGGGGGGGGGGGGCGGGGAGGCGCAGGAGGCTCGGTGGATCGCCCGCAGCTGGTGCCGGGGCGGCGCCGCCCAGCCAGCGGCCGTCGCAGCATGCAACACGGGCGCACACCTGCCACGCACTGCTGCGGTTCCGGGATACGTCATACGCGCGCAGCGACTCACCCCCCAAAAGTCGCGGGGTCCGCCGCCTCATTCTCCCAGGCCATGCGCCGCCGCCGCAGGCGGCGCCGCCGCCACACGAACGCGCCGGCCGCCAAGACCAGGGCCGCGCCCACGCCTGCAGCGACAGGGCAGCAGTGAGCGCGCGCGGCGCTGACGAGCTGGCAGAGGTCGCAAGGTGCTGCCGCAGACCCTGAAAAGGCAGGCTGACTGGGGGTAGGAGGATGGGAGTCCGCCCGGAGGCAAGAAGCCCCTGTGCACCCCAACCGCCGGCGCGCCCGCCAGGGAACTCACCAGATGCAACGCCCGCGGCGACCTTCTGCTTCCAGCTTTCATCCTGAGTGTCGTCGTCCATGGCCGCCAGCCACGCGTCCACGCCGTCCACCTGGCAGCGGCGGCGGCGGCGCGATGCGCAGGCGCGTCGACCAGAGGGTGCCCGCGGCGCTGCCGCGGCGCGCGCGGGGACGGCAGCGCTGCAGCCTGCAGCATGCGCTCGGACGCATGCTGCTACCATCGCCGTCCTCCATCACCATGGCTGCGTGCCCCTGAAAACGCAGAAAAGCTCAATCTTGCGTTGTGATGCTCCCCCTTTTACATGCACACACACAAACACATGCACGCGCACACGCGCGCACACACACGCGCGCGCGCGCACGCGCACCTGGCACTGATCCAGGCTCTTGACGCTCTCGCATTCTGGAGATATGTACGTCTGGCAGATCCTTGTCGAGTTCCGCAGGACCATGGCGTAACCGGGCAGCCACGCGTCGCTCTCGCTGTTGTCCGACATCACGTGGAGCGCTGCACAAGGGGAGGGAGCGGCGGCGGCGGCCCACACGTTCGTGCATATGTGCGAGGGTGGCACGACGCTCGTCAGGCCTGTGACGGGGCCTGCAGGGTTGACCACCAGGGGGCGGCGCAGGCGCACGCTGCGGCATGCGACCGGCTGGCCCAAAGCACGCCCAAGTGCATGGTAGCACCTTGCGGCGTGCTGCGGCGCCAGCTAAGCCAACGCTGCCGAGGCCGCGGCGAGCACCGGCCTTGGCGCTCGTGCGCTCACCGAAGCTGACATAGTGCAGGCTGGAATTGTACCAGGTGCCCCGATGATACTCGTTCTGCAGCCGCACAAGGTTCTTGCCAGGCAGGTCGCTGGGCCGAGGGTACGAATTCGCCGAAGCGAGCGCTGCGTCCGCCGCCGCGCACATGTAGCGCCACCGTGGCACGTCGATGCATACGATTGTGCTGCCCTGCAGGCCGCCGAAAAAGTCCATGCCCAGGCCGCTGCCCTTCCTGCGGCGGGCCCAACAGCATAAGATGGCAGGGAGAAACCCTGTCACGGGGCGTGCTGGGGGATTGGCGGCCTCCAGCACTGAAGGCCGGCGGTCCACCTGCGCTGCGGCCGCGCGCGCAGTGGCCGCAGATACACCCCTGCAGTGCGGCGCCGCGCGCGGCATGTCGCTCCACGTGCTGGTGCGCAACAACAATCCCCAACACACCCTGACGCGCACCGCATATTCTTGAGCATGACGCTCTTGAATGTAACCGTGACATTGACACCGATGGTCGCCTCATCCTGCTGGAACGAAAAGTCGAGCGCCGGCAGCGAGCTCCGCGGCGTCCCAGGCGGCGAGGTGATCGTGACGTTGCGCGTGATCAAGATTGGGTCGCGCTCGCCGCTGCCACGAGGGTCCAGCACGACATCGCCCAGCAGCACAATTTCCGAGATCTTGGGGTCCTGCAGGGCCTCCAGAAAGCCCATGCAAGCCTCGCCAGCTGCGCATGCGCCGGGGCCCGCAACATACGCCGCCGCAGACTCGCTGCTGCCCCCGACTCGTTGCTCCGCTGACACCACTGCGAGGTCGGGCCTGCCGCAGTGGACAGTACCCAAAATCAGGAGGAAAAGTAACCTGGGCCACCCCATAGGGCCGGCAGTCCGTGCCCCGCTCAAGGTCGCTACAAGTGTGGTGGCATCACTGCCGTACCACTGCTGCACGCTCAGTTCGATGCAAAAAAAGCCAACGTGTTGTTCGAAGCCGGCTTCGCTCCAGGGCACAAGGTGGCTGCATTGGCCTTGACGTGCCGTCGGAAGCTACGAGGCATGGGCGAGCCCTGCCTTGCCGCACCCTGCCGGTGCCGCACATGAGCGCTTTTCCAGTAGTTGTGGCGCCCCAGCCGCAATCGTGGCTCAAGAAAACAGCATCCCATCGCCCGTGATTGCGCAATCACGGCGGCACAACCCGCTTGCTGCGGCGTAGGTAATGTGCTGCGGGCTGTTGGCAGTATTACAACAGGCCGACGGCTCTGACTCAGAGCACACCGCAGTCTGCAACCGCCACGTCCACGCGCGGAGTCCCGTCGCTTGATGCAGCCTCCTCGTCTGGGGAGAGGTTGATAGCGGCCCGCGCGGCAGGAGCGTGCAGTAAAGTGAGCGCACACGACACCTGGTGATGCAGCAGAGCAGACCAGCCATCCCGGCCAAGATTTGATCAGCGCAGCCCTGACGCGTCAAACCCTCCCCCAGCGCAGCACACCTATCCGCTTGATGACCTCCAGGCCCTCTCGGACGACCCCAAACACGACGTGCTTGCCGTCGCACTGGCTGGCGAGGCCCAGGGTGAAGAAGAATTGGCTGCGAGAGCAGCACGGGGCCGGAAAGGTGGGGTTGAGGAGCCTGCACGGCACAGGCGCCAGTCGCGGGCGCACACGCGGGCGCACAGATGCGTGCCGTTGTTGTCGCGACACAAGGGCGACGCGGCCGCACGCCTCGCCTCCGCCCAAACCTGGTGTTGCTGTTCTTCCCTGAGTTGGCCATGCTGAGGATCCCGGCGGCGTCGTGCTTTTTCGCCAAGCCCCCTTTCTCGTCTGCGGGAAGCGTCAGGGACGGCGGGCGGCGCATGCACGAGGTCCAGCCGGTAGCACCGGGCGGGCAGCGACAGTGGTTGGGTGTCCCTATGCGCCACTCAGCCTCCGCCAGTCACAAAGCGAATGCTCAAATTAACAGCCGCATACCGTTGAATTTGCCGCCGTATATCGAGTCGCCGCCGCTGCCGTCCCCTGCAAGCGCCAGGCGGGCAGTGACGAGTGCGACAGGGCGCGCGCCCGGAAGGGCGCTGGGGCGCGCGTGCTTCGCCATCGGCCCTTGGCGTCAAGCGTGCACATGGGCCTTGCAGGCCATTCCTGCCGTTGCGAGCCTGGGCATGCTGCTGCGGCGCGCACCCCTTACGACGTCCCCGCCCTGGCAGCAGAATCCCTTCACAATCCGGTGGAACTTGGTGCCCTGAGGACCAGCACGGGGCATGGCGGCGGCGGATCAGAAGCAGCACGGCCAGATGCTGCGAGGCTGCCGCATGGGTTTCGACGGAGCTGCTGCCCCGCCTGCATCGCAGCATCATGCGGGCGCCGAGGCCGGAACCGCATGCACGCATGCCGCCGCCTCCATGCGGTCCTGCCCCGCGCCATGCGGCCACATGTGGCCACATGCGGCCATGGCCCGCCCCATGCAAAGTGCCCGAGGCGCGCATGCAAGGCGCACACCTTCAAGTGCAGGGGCTTCTTGCTTGCCTTCCCCAGCCCGCGCTCCCCTGTGCACAGGCACTTGAAGTTCTCTGCCGCTTTGGGGGTCTGGAGGTCAGGGTTTGGGCGCATGCGCGATCCGCTGGTGGGTGGGGGCTCTACGATGGCGCGAGCGCAGGCGATGCGGCGGGCGACGCCGGCGCTGTTTGGAACAGGGGATACCGCGCCCTGCACAAGGAGTAGATGGCCTCGCATTGCACTTCATTCGTGCAAATGGAGCCTCCTGCCTTCCCTGCTGTCTCATGCTGAGCACAGCGGCGGCAAACTATCGCCAGGCACCTCCTTTTCAAACAGCTCGCAGACGACGCGCCCTGCCCGCAGCGCCGGCGGCTTGGCAACGCGCGCGGGCCCCTGTGAGCTCCAGGCCTTGTCGGCCTCGTAAGCCTCCAGAAGCATGGCCGCCCCCTCTTCATCCAGGTCATCCTGCAGGGCGGGTTCGCTGCGGCATTAGGCGTCACGGACGCGGGTGACACGCCTGTTCGCTTGGTCGCACATCAGCCGACCGCAGCATGTGATCGATGTGCGCTCCGTCAATGGGGCCTCTTACTGCAAAACAGCTCAGCCGCCACTTCCAGTACAATCCCTACAAAAACAGTGCCCGCCCGCACCAGCTGTGAGGGGAGACCCAGCTGCGGCACGCCGACAGTCGAGAGGAAACGCGCCGCACGCTCATGCGCAAGGTTGTGCTCTGCGAACGCCACCGCGTCGCCAATGTCAATATCTAAGAATACTTTCAGCACCATGTTGTTGGAAAGGCGATCCACTCAGCGATGTTGTTGGTGTGATCGCGGCCTGCAGATCGTATCGCCGAGATTTTCAGTCCTTCATGCTCGTAAAATCGATTTAATACTTATTATTGTTGTCCCGCGACAATGGGCCTTGCTTGAGAAACATGCCCAAGAAACTGGGCAAGCGGTGATGTGGACTGGGTCAACCACCGTAAACCGCGTTTGGCGCGTTTTGTAGTCAATTGCTGTATTTCACCAATAGTATTCCACTCGCCACTTACACCCTCCCACCAGAGACATGTTTGCTGTTTGTGCGTCGTAGCCACGGCCAGGAGGCTGCGCACTGCGCTCGAAGTCCTTTCAAGACTTCAGGTGGGTTATTTGCAAGCTCTTAATCAGGCGCGGACCCGTAGTAGGTGCGCAAACATGGCTATCAAAACGCTACCCTGTGCTTTCTCTGGTGGCCGGGGTCGAGGCTGGGCGCTTGCTTATCCGCTTCAATTGATTTGTGTGACCCGCCATGGCGCCTGGGTGCGTGGCATTGACCACTGTTCTCGTCGTGGTGCAGCAGGATCGCCTCGTACACGGCCCAACCGGCCCCGATTGACGCTCAAACCTTGCTGAAATTTGACGCTTTACGACACCTGCAAACGCTCACCCACTAGCAGGAGGCAGTGTTACGCTGCCCGACGCCGGTGTTGCCGGTGGACACGACCCTGTGACCACGCCCCCCAGCGGCGCCGACAGGATCGGCGCCCAGGGCACCCCCAGCCCTCGGGATGGCGTCTCTTCACAAGAACATGACAAGCCCGTGCGCCTCCAAGCCGCCGGGCAGCGGGGCGGCCAAGAGCCCGCGCAGCAGCCCGGGCGTGCGCGTCGTCATGTGCGCTGCCAGCTCGCCGCGCTCCTCCCCTTTGTCCTCCCCCGCTGGCGCCGCCTGCTCCACCGCCGCCGCGGCGATCGCGGCGGCCGCTCCTTTCGCCAGCCGCTGCGGGCCGTCGCGGCAGCTGCGCTTTGACATTCGGGTCGACGTGCCGCCGCCGCCGCGCATGAGCGTCGTTTCTCGCAGCAGCCGCTCGCCCACCGCCGCCGCGCATGCGGCCAGCGAGGCGGCGGTCTCGCCCACCG